CAGTTGGGCCTGTCCCAGCTCCCCAGGAACTGTAGGTACCGCAGTTCTCTGGGGACAAGGGACAAGTCCAGCCCCACTGAGCTTGCAGGGGGAGAGATGGGCACTGTCAGATGTGCCTAGAGGAACTGCCCCCAGCACAGAGGAGCTTGTGGCAGAAACACCAGAGAGGTGGCAGTTCAGGAGAACACAAAAACTGAACAAAGTGATGAGCTCAATTTGGAGGCAGAAGGGTATGAAGGGCAATGGCAGAGACTCAAGAGCAGGGGCTGTTTCCAGGCTCTTTGTCCACAAGCAGCTTGTTGACTTTGGAAGTGCTTCCTCTTTGCTAGCAACTGCCTTTCCAGTGGCTCTCTGCTTCCTTTTTGCCATCCCTCCCCATCCAGTGATGCTGTCGTCACATATTTCAGCAGTGTAGCTCCTGCAGTGCTTGTGGTCCTCCCACCTGCCACAGCTAAGCACTCCCAAGAAAACCGACCATCGAGGCATTACTCTGCCTTGATAAAATTAGCAGCTTTTTGGTTCTGCAGCTGATACATCGCTAGATCCAAAAATGCTTAGCCCTATGGGTGTGCAGATCAGATTCCCCTGCTTTTGTAAATAAAACTTTGCAAAGGGAGTGGAATAGAGAGGCACCTGGGCTGATTTATGCTGAGGTTCAGATCTGCGTCTGGATTTTATAGCAAAATCTTTTCCAGGGAGTGAATTGCATCTGATATCCCACCAGACCCAGAACTTCAGCCCAGCTGCCCAGGAGCCCCATTCAGACTAAAGCAGCAGGCAGCTCCAGTGTATTTTGACCTTTGCAACCCCCTTATCAGAGCATCCCCTTCCCCCAAGCGTAGCCAGCTGCTAAGGGCCTGGATTTTGGTATTGCTGAAGGCTAGAGTGATGTGAATTTGCTTAAGTGCTTTTCAGAAGGCTTTCAAAGCAGTGACAAATGCTGCATGGATTTAATGTTACATCCATCAGTGCGGTATTGCCTGCTGCCTAGAAAGCCTGAACGAGATCTGTGAAGTGGGCTTTGCTTTGTGTTAAATGTGCAAGAGAAAAATATCCCTTTCTCCCTAAAGTAGCAAACATCATCTCAATTAATGCTATGGATATTGACTTCTTTCACAAATTAATAACTCTGTGTCCAGAGAACTGGATTAGAAACTGATAAGAGGAAAGCCCTCAAGCCTTGAGTTCCCTTATCTGGTGGGGAAAAAAGAATTTTTTGTATTACAGTACAAATTTTGAAGGGCTTCTCACAGTAAGACTTGGAGACTGCTAGTGAGTTGATTACAAGAATGGCCTGAGATGGAGAGAAAGGAGGAGGAGGAGGAAACATTTCCTGGCAAGCTCCTTCCCTTTCCCCACAGAATTCTAAAAATGAAATTTTGGGGGATGATCTTAATGAACAGTAAAATTTTAACAACCAGCTTTTTTTTTTTTTCCTTAGAATTTGGAATTTTAGTGATGATTCAGTGCTGGAAGGAACTAAAAATCATGTCTAGCCTTGTGTAAAGAACACATTATTATTTATAAGGGGTTTCTTTTGGCTCTCTATATCCTCTAGGCAAGGGTGCTCCACCCAAATGAGCAGTGAACACATTTTACCAGTATCCATAGACCAATATTAAGCTGGATCTCAAAGCTGAATTACTTAATACTGAAACTCTAGGGAGGCTTCTCCCAAAGCGAGCTGATGTATAGCAGGGAATATCAGGGAGGAGCGAATCCTTGCACAGCAGATACACCGTGTATTGAACCTTATTTTCTATCCCTTTTGCTTTTGATCCATTTGCTCATTAAACACATGTCACTAGTTGTAAAAGCCCCAGGTGTGGGACCTGAGCAGAAAGCAAAAGCAGGTTTAGAAGGTGCCCCTGCCTCATAGCAGAGGTCCAACCTGACTCTCTCTGCCTGTCACCCAGGTGCACGTGGCTGTGAGCCATTTCAAGGTCAAACTCTACCTGGACTGTAAGAAAATAGCAGAGAAACCTCTCAACACCATCGGGAGCATCTCCACTGCTGGTTTCATCATGCTGGGAAAAGTGACAAGGACAAGAGGGCCAAGGAGCGGGTCTGCATCGGTGAGTGCCTCCGTGGTGCATGGTTTTGGAGAGAGAGGAGCTTAAATATGGAGCTGGCTGGGG